TGGGATAACAGTTGTATGAGCCCCTAATAAAATGTTAAAAAATAAATAAATAAATAAAGATAGCGTTTCAACCCTAGGTTTCTCTCCTCTCTCAGGATGACAGTCTCGGGGGTCCTCTGATCTCAACTGGTCCAGGAGGTCTGGCTCTGTGAAGACTTGGGGTTTTAGTCTGTCTTCTTCTCCAGGTCTTTCAGGGGCCACTCATCCTGATGGTCCTGATCAGAACAGCCGGGGGTGGTAGCCAGGCACCATCTAGTGCTTCTGGTCTCCGGATGGAGGAAGCCATGGCTCTTGAAGGCTGGTGGCTTGTGGGCTCATTTCTCTGCCGAGGTCCTGGTTTCCTTCTGCCTCCTCTATGGAGGCCAATAGCTGTGTCTTGGGTGGCTGCTGGCAAGCGTTGAAGACCCAGTGCAGCTCTCCAAAGAAGGATGCAGGACACGGATGTCCTGGGTTATGTTCCACGAGCCATCCCGGGAGATTGTGGTCCTGAGGTTTCACACCTGGGAAACCAGCCCTGGGAAGGAGTGTGGTTTATGTCTGAGGAGTTTGATCCACAGTTGGGTCTCCATTGAAGGCATGAGGGAGCTTCAAAAACCTCATGGGAATTGTCCACGTAAAGATCACGGGGCTCACCCGCAGGTTTCCTGGGGGCCCCTTCCTTGCCTGTGTGCACGCAGGCCTGCATATCTGAACACTTCTGTCTGTGCCACCTGCGTACACACACACACCTGTCCGCACAGCCGCTCGTACACCTATGTAGGTGACAATGCTCTTGGGGGCACAGTGATGGCAGCAAAGTCGGAAACCCACCAGCTCCGCCTTGGGGGAAAGTTGAGGGAGGCTTTCTTTCTGCTCCTGAAAACAGAGGTTCAGAAATGCACAGGGTCATTTCGCTTCCTAAGCACACACACCCCCCGCCCCCCGGCATTAGTGCAGACGCCCAGCTTGCTCCCCAGAACCAGCTGTGGAGTCTTCTCTCCCACCTAGCGAGGGCCTCAGACACCAGGCTGCCTGGCCCAGAGGCATCAAGAAAGATCCCCCCTCTCTCAGGTCAATTGTCAGCCAGCCTTCAGCAACAGCCCTCCGGCTGGGTCCCCTCCCTTCAGAGCTCCCTGCTGTGCCACCTGGGCCTCTCAGGGGCCCAGCCGCACCCCTGCCCACAGGAGCATGATTCTGGCAGTGGTGGGTGTGGTAGAACTAACTCTCACCTTCCATATGAGAGACTTGGATGTGAGTCCCAGCCAGGGCCTCTCCGGTGCAGTTACCACCAGTCTGTCCATGCTGCTTGGGGGTCAGCTCCCAGGGGAGCTTCCAGACCAGACAGCTGCGGAAGGGCCTAGAGAGCTACTTCTGCAGCTCAGCCGACAGAGACCCTCCGGAGACCCCGGGACTTGTCTCTGACTTGCTTCCTCAGCCCCAGCGGCCAACAACCAACCGATGAGAGGGGTGCCAGGGTCCTCGCCACACCTCTTCCTAAAGGGAGACGGTCTGAGAATGGACCCCTCCAACCCCTTTCTTCCAGGGCCTCAGGACAGGGCCACCCCCACGGCAGGGAGCGTCTGATGGGGCCGCTTCCCAGGGCCCCCTTCCTCTTGAGAGGCCACCGAGCGGGGCTTCTTCAGGAAAGGGAGGGCCCACCAAAGGGGGTTTGTTTTTGTCTTGAGAAAAGGTCAGAAAACCATCACCGATGGGTGTGGAGCCAAACTCTCCCCACCAACCCCACGGCCATCGAGTCCATGCAGACTCATGGCGACCCTATAGGACAGGGTCGACCTGCCCCTAGGGGTTTTAGAGACTGTAACTCTTGACGGGAGTAGAAACCCCCAACTTTCTCCCTAGAAACCAGGGGTAGATTTGAACTGCTGACCTTGCAGTTAGCAGCCCGATGCTTAATCACTGTGCTCATTTATAGCCAGTGACTGCAGTGGGTTAAGGGTCAAGCTGCTAACCAGAGGCCCGTGGTTGAAGCCCACCTGCAGCTCCGAGAGAGAACGATGAGGCTGTCTGTTCCTGTGAAGACGGGTGGTCTCAGGAATCCACAGGGGCCACTCTGCTATGTCCTGTAGGGTCATTTCTAGTTAGGGGTCACCCAAAGGCACTGGTTGGGATTTGAGGTTACCCAAACAGAGGAACTGGGGCCTACGAGCCCCTTGGGCGGCATCTCGGGAGCTGTCATTTGAGCCTGGCAGCCACGGAGGCCCAGCAGGGGCTGCCCTCCCTGCCTGCACACAGCAAACACTTAAGGGGACAATGACACTTCCGTTCCTGACCTCCTGCCAAGTACCCAGACACAGCCAGCCCCTGACAAAGCATGCTTTCCCCTGCAATCCCCAGAGAATTAATGAAAGCCTTGGCTTTCCCTGGCTGGTGCCAGTCCCGGGGTGGGGGGCGGGGATCATTCCCACCACTGTTCATTATGACCCCCTGCGTCCCTGCTGCCTGGAGGAGGGGGTGCCCCTAACCACCAGGGGAGTGGGGTGGGGGATGCCGCTAGACAGCCAAGGAGCTCCCAAGATGCTCCTGAAAGAAGCTGGGGGGGCTGTACCTCGGTCACTCATCACCTGCCTTGCCCACACCAGCCCCCATTGCTGCCCAAGGGACCGCACCCCTAGCCTGCCATCATTGTGAATTCTGATTCACAGCTGCCCTATAGGACCCTACGGGCAGAGGAGAACTGACTCCCAGGGATGGGTTTGAACTGCCAACCTTGCCGTTAGCAGACCACCAGTTAGCCGGCAACGTCACCAGGCTTCCTTCCCATGGCTGGAGGAGGGCAGTCAGTGATGGCAGTGGGTTAAGCGCTAAGCTGCGAACCATAAGGCCGGTGGTTGAAATCCACCAGCAGCTCCGAGAGAAACAGATGAGGCCGTCTGTCTGCTCCCATAGACTGACCATCTCAGGGACCATCTGCTCTGTCCTGCAGGGCCATGGCAAGGGCCCTACGGTTGCAGGAAGCAGCCCAGTGGCAGGCATGCGAGTCCCCACCGCCCTCTGTGTCCAGGGCTTGCTGGCAGCACCGCCAGCAGGGAGGGCCGTGGAAGGCGAGCCCTGGGTTTTCGCTGTCCATCTAAGAGGTGGTGGTGTGGTTGTGTGCATCCTGGAGTTGGTCCCAATGCACAGACGCCCCATAAAGTGGAGAACTCCTCCCCAGGGTCCCCAGGGGACTATGGGGGGGACTTCCCTTCCCACGGAGAAACGGGTCACACCTATGAAGACTGTTAGGGTTAAAAGTGTGATTTTATTTAGCTGTTACTTGTACATAATCTATAGTTAGATATACAAACAGATAAAAATCGCTTAACAGGAGTTAAGTGCGTGTTTTTAATACCACCTTAAATTCCGTTTACAACAGCATTGTTTAATACTGCAAGGTGACAGAGGGCTCTGGTTTGGGAGACAGAAGAAAAAACACATGTGCTATTCCGCGCGGGCCTGTTCTCACGGAGCTTTCCCCACGTGGCCAGGATGCTCAGGGAGGAGCTGACGTCCTGAACCGCTACCCAAGCAAAAGCGCCTGCTCTTCTCCGCAGCATCCCGATGGAAGGAACGAGCACCCGTCTGCCCAGCCTTATGGTTTGGAGCCAGCTGTGCAAAACTGTGTGTCCTGTGGTGGGGGGGGTGGCCCACAGCGGGCTCTCATAGCTAACGTGTGCTGCTGTGTGATCCTGCCATCTCCCCTCTGTCCAGTCCCTGCGGTGCCAGAGGCTGGCTTACAAGACCAGATGCCGCACTAAAACCGACCCAGGGAGACCAGAAAATGGGTGGAAGGGTGGGACCACTTAAAATCCCCCGGCTCCTAATGGCTGCGCGTAAAAACGCAGTGCCTGTCAGTGTGAAATAGGCTTCCTGATGTTTCTTCCGGCGGCTGGGGTAGGGGGGTTGGTAACAGGGAAGGCCTCTTGGGAAGGAAGGTGGACTTTAGTGTTGGGTTTCCCTGGTCAATTGAAAGGCCCGGGTCTCAGTTTGATGAGGGGCCTCATCTGGGAGATGAGGACCCTCCACAGAGACCCCCCAGCTGGCCTGTCTTTGTTCTCTCTGCCATTTCCTAGAAGCCAGTGGGGTGACGAGGCTGGGGCAGCCTCTGGATGGGGACCACCCATGGGTGCTCGGTGGCAAAGGCTGCGTGTCTGAACCCATTGTGCAAGGGGAGGACTGGCTACCGCCAAGCAGGAGTCTGCCAAAGATGCACCAATGATGCTCCAGTGGCTGGGCTGGTCCCCTGCAGTGACCCCATCCCCAGCTCGGGTTTCTCCACCTCAGTGTCCCTAAGTGGCCGTGGCGCATCCCCACAAGCTGTCTGAAGTGACCTAAGTGTGCAAGGCTTCTTTAGTCAGTGTCTCGACACATGTGTGAAGTCGTAACTGCTGTCAATGCCGTGGGCAGTCGGGGCATCTACTGAATCTACATGAGCAGCGATTCCTGCATCTAGCTCTCCATCTTGAGGGTTCCAGGCTTGGTCTCAACTAGGATAACAAGTCCCCACCCCCTGGGAGCCCTAGGGTGGCCGTGGGGTGTGTCTGGGCAGGAGGGGAAGGCGGGTTGGGCAGGAAGGTGATGGAGTGACAGCTAGGGGGTCTAGTGGGGTGACGCCTCCATGAGGTAATTCGGAAGTTACTGTGCCCGAGTCGAGGAAGTAGAACCGTGTGCTTCTCTGACCCGGGCGCATGCCCGAGCCTGGCCTAACCCTGAGCATCTAAGCTTCCCTCAGCCTGGCCTGAATGTCGGGGGGACGTGGGGTTGAGGAAGACCAACTGCCCCCACAGGCTTTCCTGGGCCACCAGGGGCCCATGGCCAGAGAATTTTCCTGCTGCGGAGCCGCCGCTTGGCTCCATCCTCCTGTTAGGTCGGACAGGCCAGGTGGAGTGAGAAGCCACCTGCAGCCCACGCCTGGGACACAAACTCCAGTGGCCCCTTCATAACTTGCACTTGCTTCAGGAGGATATGCCCAAGGTGGACCGGTGCTCAGGAGTTTGGGGGACCACCCCAATGCCCCCCCACTGACAAGAGGCCCTTCTCCCTGCCACAATCACGACTGAGCTGCTGGGGGTGGGGTGGGGCCGGCAGAGGGAAGGGCGCGTCCCACGGGCTCTCTCACAGTTCACAAGCGCTCACAGAGGGACTGGGCTGGTGGGAGGGACGCTGGCATCACCTGGGGGCTGTACTTGGGCAAGAACAGGAGAGGGAGACCCTTCCATGTTCCTCGCACACTACCTCACCCTCTCTCTCTCACTAGCTTTTCTTTGAAACACACGGAAGGGAAAAGAATGATCGAGAGAAAGGATTGGGGGATGGCTGCTCACAGGCACACGGCCGTGCCTCTGGAGGCCCCGGGAGGAAGTGGAGTCCGCTAGACCCCAGCGGGCGGGCACAGGGTGGGGCATGGCTGCAGGGCACTGACACTCGCCTCTGCCAGTGACGCTCAGGATGGCACGGGATGTGCCAGGGGCTGTGCAAAAGCAGTACCATGTCATGAGAACAAAAGTCGCTAAGCTAAGGGGGTGCTGACACCACTACTGGAGAGCGGGGGTGGGTGGAGTGGGGGTGGGAGCCTCGGGCCTGGGCTCAGCTCGCCACCCTGCCCGGTGGCCCGGGGAGGGCCCGCCGGCCTCAGTCTGACCAGTCGTTGTCGTCAAACTCCGAATCGTCGTCGGAGTCGCTGTACTCCACGGCGATGCGTCTGGACAGGATGGTGGCCACGTCGTCCCCCACGGGCTCCCGCTTGGCCTCCTGCTCCTGCTGCTCCTGCACCTTCTTCAGCTGGATCCCTGCAGGCACGAAGGGCAGCGGGTCAGGCCACGGCCCCTCCCGGGCACGGAGAGCAGAGGGCATGGGGGGGGACTGGGGGCACGGGCCGTGCTACGTGGAGAAGGTGTGCAAGCTCGGAGCCACCCACAGGAAGGGCACTTCGTTTCGATCGCATGTCAATGGCCTGGGGACGCATGAACCACCAGGTCCTAGCACCACGTGCAGACAGATGGACGGAGAGAGTGCTGGAGGCGCGCACTCCCGCACTCCCGTGGTGGCCACTAGCCACGCCACCTACTCACCTACTGACCTCTGGCCATCACTGTAGAGTATGACTCTCAGACACCCCAGAGAGAGCCAGCCTGGGGTGCTCGTGGACTGCCGACCGCAAGATCAGAGGTTTGAGCCTGCCAGCAGCTTGGGAGAACCATGCGGCAGTCTTGCTCTTGTAGAGACAACAGCCTGGGAAACCCTCAAAAGCAGACGGTCACCCCAGCCTCCTCCTCCTCCTGCTTAACGTGTGCCACCACCAAACGTGACCAGACCCCCTGCTGTCGGGTCGACTAACCCACAGAGAATTTACAGGGCTGGGCAGAGCTGCCCAGAGGGTGTGCCAGGCTCTCATTGTGAGGCCTGCACACGGTGGCCTCTGTTTTTCCCCAGCGGAGCAAGCTGCTGGGCGGGAACCCCGGTGATCAGCTTGACAGTCAGCACACCGGGGAATGCATGAGCAAAGCAAACCTCAACCTCACTACAATCGAGCCGGTGCCGACACACAGCGGCCCTGAGGACAGGGGGGGACCGCCCTGTGGGTTTCCCAGGCTGGCACCCCAAAGGAACAAGGGCAGTTTATCCTTCTTCCAGGAACAGGCTCGGGGACTTCAAAAAGTTCTTGGGAAAAACATCCCATTAACTCTGAATTCCATTTTACACACACACTCTGAAGCCCCCTCACACAGGTGGTGGTGGTGGTGGTGTGTTCACAGCTGAAAAGGGGTTCTGGGTTCTAGATTAGAACACCAGGCCCCAAGTGTACCTAGCTCCCCTGGCCCCCAAGTTCCGCATCCTACCTGTTCCCTAAAGCCCGAACCAGACTCACCACTGTCCTGCAGTGTAGATTCTGACTGCCTGGGACAAGGTAGGACTGCCCCAGTGGGTTCCCGAGGCTGTGACTGACTAGTGGAGTCTCTCTCCCTTGCAGAGGCGGGTGGTTTAGAACCGCTGACCTGGCAGTTAGCAGTCCAGCGCTTTCCCACAGTGCCAGCAGGGCTCCTGGCCATCGAAGGCCCAGGTCAGCCCCACCCCTCGGGTTCTGCAGCCCTCTCTTGGGCACTCTGCGCACACAGGACTGCCTAGGGTAGAGGGATGGGGGGTGAGGGGTGCCCCACTCACCCATTCGGATGGCGGCCAGGAGGTCGCTGCGGGCGTCGCTGATGGGTGGTTGGGTGGCTTCGGGACGCTTGGTCTCAGCGGCTCCCTGGGGGCCGTGCATTGGGGAGGGCGAGAGCGAGGCGCCGGCCCCGGGAGGGCCTGGTGGGGGCGGTGGGGGTCCTGGTGGGGGCGGGGCGGTGGCGAGGAGCCCCGCAGGCGGCGGGTGTGGAGGGGCGGGGCAGGAGGCCGGCGCGGGGACCTGCAGGGGGCTGACGAAGGCAGTTTGTGCAGAAGGGATCATCGGAGGCGGGGGAGGCGGCGGTGGGCCCGAAGGGCTGTAGTACTCCATCATCTGGGCCGGGAGCAGCCTAGCGAACAGAAGGGGCCTGTCCAGGAACAGCGGTGGGGGCCACGTGCCCCAGGGCCCCGCCCACGGCTGTCCAGTCCTTCCTACGCACGCACGCACGTACGCATGGCCGCCCTGCAGGGCGGGGTAGAACTGCCCCTCCTCCCCCATGCCCCCAAGGCCAAATGGTGACTCTTTACGGGAGCAGACGGCCTCGTCTTTCTCCTGCGGAGCAGCTAATGGATTTGAACTGCCGGCCTTCAGGTCAACAGGCCAACGTGCAACCCACGAGGGCAGCACATCATCTCTAAGGATCAAGGGGAGGGCAGTGTGACACACACAGCACCTGCTGGCCCCCGGCGGAGAATCTGCTGTAAGTAACCACGGGGGGCGGGGGGGGGGGCAGCCAGTCATTCTTGCCCGCACCCTGGTCGCCTCCCAAGCACCAAGCGGCTGTTTGAATTCTGACACCTCACGTTAAAACAAGGACAGCATGGAAGGGCCACCAAGTGGGGTGCTGGGCCCCTGGCGTGTCTCCAAGAGAAACTGGGCTCCACGGGGCAGGGGGCGGTTCCCCAGGCGAGTGCAAGGCCTTTCTGCAGAGGTGCTTCAGGGGTCCCACGTGAGGGCTGAGCCCCGCGCATGCGAGCCAGCCGACTCACCCGTAGTCCGCGGGGGCCACGGCCTGGGGGCCGTCTGCGGCCTGCGGTGGGGGCGGCGGCGGTGGCTGCTGCGGTCTGTTGAGCGCCACGTGCCTGGCGGAGGCAGAGGGCGGCCGGCACTCGTGGTCGGGGGCCGCCCAGTGCTGGGTCCCGTCGCCCGCCGCGTAGGCAGGCGTGGCCGGCTGCGCGTGCATGGAGTGGTTGGGGGTGGCCGGGTACGAGTAGTCGGTCACGTCGGAGGCGTGGGATCTGAACGGAGAAAAGTGGGGCGGGGGCGCGTAAATGAAGTTCATCCGTCCGTCGGTCGGATGGCTGCGCGCAGCATGGGCGCACGGTCCGGGTGGGCGCGCCCGCCCGAAGCGGCGGGGGTCAGGACTGGGCAGCGGCAAAGCCCGGTGTTACATGGAGCCGGGTCACAGTTTAGAGTGGGCGAGCCAAGCAACCAGAGCAGGGGCCCGGCCCCCACCCCTGCCCGCCTCCCTTAAGGGCAATGTCTAGGGGACATGGGGTGGCAGGGATCCCGAGACCCGCGGCCTGTCGTTGGCGAGGACGGAGTGGGGGTGAGCTGGGGTGATGAGAGAAACGGCACGTGGAGAGCCCGCGGGTTCCGGAACGCAGGAAGTTGTGAGGCCACGACTCACGGCCTGGCCTCTCTGTGCACCGGCAGCTGGGGACGAAGCTGGAAGGCTGGGAGGGGTCAGCCGTTAGTTGCCCACCGTGGTGGGGAGCAGAGCTGGGGGTGGGAGAGGCGTTAGTAATGAGCGGCCTTGCGCCGGGTTACAGAGCACGCAGTTGTCAGTATGTGGGGACGACATCCACTTGTGTCCGCAGAAGCGAGGGGGCAGCAGGGCTGGGGCCCGAGGGAAATCGAGAGGACGAACCCTCTGGGCACCGTGTCCTCCCTCGGGCGCCCTGCCTGCGCCGGGGCCCGGGGGGCATCGCTCATAAACTCGACGCCCATTTTCCTGCGGGCCCATTCTTCTCTCCTCGTGCGCACCTTCCTCACGCTGAGCTGCTGGGTCCGGTGGGGGCTCAGCTTGTGCTTCTCTCTCTGGAGGGAACAGGCGGAAACACACTGGGGGTGTGAGGGGGCACGCGGGAACGGGGCGGGGGCTCTCCCAGTGGGAGGGTCGCTTGGCATCAGGCAGGTGTGACAGCAGTGGCCTCTCCTGTCCCCTAGGGGAGGTGTGAGTGCTGGACCCTGGGTGTGTGCAGCGTGTCCTGTGAGCTGGACCAACTGCAGTGAGGGAGGGAGTGAAGAATCATCTCCGTGTGCAAGGGGCCTGGCCCACACCTAGGTTGACTGTTGGGGGCTGCCCCCTCGGGGTCCCTGGCGGTCATACTGACTGAAAGCAGGACCACCGGGGCTTTCTCCCGCTGAGTGCGTAACTGGTGGTGCCGGCATGCTCTGACCAGTGAATTTCAGCCTTTAGTGACCCCACAGGGCAGGGCAGAACTGCTCTGTGGGGTTTCTGAGGCTGTAACTCCCCCCTACCCCAACCCCTCCAAGCAGCCAGCCTCCTTTCTCTAAGGCAGTGGCTGGTGGGTTTGAACTGCTGACCTCCTACGTCGAGATTTTAAAACACGGAAAGGGAAACCCCTAGATGCCACTGAGTGAGCGGGCCTGACCGCAAGTGCCTGCCTTGGAGTGTGGGCTGCCCTACTTCCCATAGGAAAGGACCCTGCAGCTCCAGAGAAGGACGGAGCTCTCCTGAGGGGGTGGCAACATGGACAAGGCCAGCAGCCCGGCCTGGCTCTCGGGGCGGTCTCCTGCTGATGGGGACAGAAAGCACCCAGACAGGGCCTCATTAGACAGGGCAAGATGAAGAGAAAGCGGAGCCAGCACCCTGAGCAGGTCCCCCAGGGTGGCGGCAAAAGGGGTCAGCCTGGAGACCATACCACCCCGTGGGAAAGACTTCACATCCCCACAGAGGTCAGGGGACAGTTCAAAGGAACACACCTCACAGCGGCGACCTGCTAGAGTGGAGCATGCAGGGAGGTGAGGGGAGACAGAGATGATCAGCCCCTCCCTCCCCCCATGTCCCTAGCAAATGGCCAGGGAGGGGTGGGCAAACAGCTCCCTGGGGGGGGGGGGGCAGCTCGGCATGGTCACCTCTTGCTGCCCAAGTCTCACTGCACTGCTTTGAGAATGGCCCACTCCTGATGTGCCCGCTGCAGAGAGCCGCCCAGCTGGCTGGGAGCACAGGCCACAGGAAAGGCCAGCGGGACAGCCGGACAAGTCTTTCCATTGCCCTCCAAGGCCGCCTGCCTTCCAGTGAGGCAGGGGGATGCAGCCCACGGGCCTGCCCACCTGAGGCGTAGGAAACACAGGCTAGACCACAGAGGACGGGAGGTTCCAGACCGTGTTATGTACAGAGGTTGCAGAGTGATGTGATTAAGCAGTGAGGCCGGAACCTGGCTGTGTAAAGGCAGAGACAAAAGACAGACGGTTCCCACACATCCAGCGGTCAGACGGCACCCTGAAAAGCAAGTCAGCCCCGGACCCCGCACCCCACAGGCTCCAGGGCGCAGGCCACGCACGGATGATCGCTTCCAATGGTGGGGCTTCGGGCATCTGTTTGTCACTGTAATTCCCAAATGGGATCAACGAGTTATTTGAAGATAAGAAAAAGCGGCGCCTCGTCATACAATGAAAAATAAAAACAATGGCGTTAATTTAGGGGATTATGATGGAAGCACAGAGAATACTGAAAGTAGCATGGACCGCTAAGAGGACGAGTCAACCTGCTTGGGAAGAAGTACGGCCAGAGCGCTCCTTAGAGGCAGGGATGGGAGACTTCGTTTCACCCACTTTAGACATGTGATTAGGAAAGACCAGTCCCTGGAGAAGGACATCCTGCTTGGTAAAGTGGAGGGGCAGCGACAAAGAGGAAGGCCCTCAAGGAGATGGATGGACACAGTGGCTGCGACCCTGGGCTCCAGCAAAAGGACAATCGTGAGACGGCGCAGGACACACGGGGCAGGGTTCTGTTCTTTCGGGCTTGCGGTGGCTGTGTCTGGGAGCTGACTCGATAGCACCTGACCACAATGACTGATTATAAACTGTTATCAATCCATGTATTTATAGCTACACCTCTTTATCTAGCTCTCTGTAATGCTTGCATGCTAAACACGAAGTTGTGGGTTCAAAGCCACCAGCCACTCTGTACGCACCAGAGATCTGGCGGCCCACTCCTGCAAAGATGGCGGCCTGGGGAGCCGGGGAGACCACGCTCCCTGCCACAGGGGCCTGCTGGATGGCACTGAGACAGTGAGGTAGTTAGTTTATTGTGCCAACCTGGCTGATAAACACATGTGGGGTTAATTGAAGGGCAAAGGGATAAATGGCTCAGTGAGCCTCTCCTTTCTAGTCCTCGGGTCTCTTGCTTTGTGATGGTCGCACCAGGGTGCAGCTGCCTTAGCAGTTCCCTGCTTCAGCTTGCAAGGCTCACTTCCTGTAAGATATCCCCAAGGAGAAGCCACATGGACCTACCCCGATGCAGCCCTGGGTGCTGGAGCAACGATGTGGAGACCCCTGCCAGCGCTGAGATGCTTACACGTTCATTGATTCGGCTTTCCTCCTGCAGTCGGCATTGTTGTGTGTGTTTTGTGAGATGGAGGAGGACTTTGTGGACTGGTGTTGGACATATGGGTTAATGTTGGACTTGTGAGCTTGGGCAGCCCTGGGTTGGGATGTTTTCTTAATGCACACTTAACCTTTATATAAAACTCTCTCTTATACATTAGTTTCTGTGGATTTGTTTCTCTAAAGTACCCAGACTAATACAGACAGGTTTGTTTTTGTTTTGTTTTCCCCCCCAGAGTCCACGGGCAATAATATAAATGGAATTCTTAAGCCTGAAAATGCAAACCCTTTGTGTTCTGAAAAGTGAGGGGGGTAAAGGCCTAGCTAATCAACACAGATGCAAAGGCAGAAGATGATGTCCCTGGAATGACCTTCCACTTTATACCTGGAAAAGTCTAATCTCCCGGGCTAGGATGAAGAGCAGTCATTTTACTCTGGGAGGAGAACTCCCTCCCCCCAACCTTTTTTGGTACGTGTGTGAACCATGGTAATAAAAGGATGTGGAGTTGGTAAAATGAAAGTATGTGCTGCATAAGCCGACCATCATAACCTAGTGGGGGGTGAGGGAGGGGGAAGGTGAAGCAAGCTGACAGAAAGGAAAACACGAAGTTCAAGTTATTTCTCACGACAGCCCATTGCTGCCCAGGGAACTACAAGCAGAACTGTACAGAGAAATGAAACTGACATTGAAATTCAACCTTGAGGTTCAACAAACCCAATTCTCTGCCATCAAGTGGATTCCAGCTCCTGGGTACCTTCTCTCATCTCAGCGGTCTCTGTGGGTTTCTGGGGCTAGACATCTTTACGGGAGCAGACAGCCTCTCTTTCTCCCAGAGAGTGGCTGGTGGGTTTGAACTGCTGACCTTGCAGGAACCAATGGGTAATCACTATGCCATGAGGGCCCCTTAAAACTTGAGGCTAAAACCCAGTTAAATCTCCAACGATGCTCACGTCTTTCACAGAGAAATGGCCTGGTCAGAAAACTCCTGCCTGGAACGTGCTCCCATCCTGTTGCTTGCCAGTGGGGTGGGTATATTTACGGGCGCTGTAAACCACCAAATTACATCTCCCCTTATGTGAATATTTATTAATAAACATCTTCCACAGGTCTGAGTAGGCGTGCTGGTGATGTCGTGGGCTGGCATTGAACTGGGAACCACATGGTCAACAGTTAGAGAAAGAGGAATCTATGTTCTCCTGCAAAGTCCTGAACGTCTCGGAAGCCCACAGGGGCAGCTCTGCTCCACCCTGTGGGGTCGCCGTGAGTCCGGTGGCCTCGATGGCAGTGAGTGTGGGTTGGGGTGTTCATATGTCCGAGTCTGGGCCCCTTCCTGAGCAAACAGGTGGAAAGAGGCCAAGGAGGCCAACTCGGCACGCATTGAAGACACTGCTGCTCCTGAAATGTCTCGAGTTCTGAGAGCTCCCCACTCACTTGGGTGGCCAAGTGTTGGCGGGAGGCGGGGTATGGCCGCCCCTGGAAGAACTACCACTTGGCCAGAGGAGAAAGAGTCCACAAGGTTAAAACCAATGGTGCCCCGTCACCCTAGGAACACCTCCTGTGATAAACAAGGCTTACTGGCCACACCGTCACACCTGCAGGAAATAAGACCAAACACTCAACTCGCCACCACTGAGGAAATGCCGGCTCCCGGTGACCCTTTAGGACAGGGTGGAACCGCCCCTGTGGGTTTCTGAGACTGTCCCTGTGGGGGAGCAGAAAGCCTCGTCTTCCTCCCGCTGAGTGGCTGGTGGTTTCAAACTGCTGACCTTGCACTGAGCCACTAGGTCACCTGCAAGAGACAGCTCACTGCCCCGGAGTCAGTGCTGGCTCGCAGTGCCCCGTAAGCTTCCGAGACATACTGTTCTCGGGAGCAGAAAGCCCAGTCTTTCTCGGGGGGGAGCTGCTGGTGGTTTTGAACTGTGGACCATGCGGATCCCAGCCCAATGCCTAAGCACTGCGCCACCAGGGCTCCTCCTGCAAGAGATACTTCAACCTAATTACTGAAAAAGAAGAGTTAGGCACACTCCAAATCGCTAAAAAAAAACAAAACAAAAAAGGCACGCTCCACCAACATTCTCCTCTTGAGTTACCTGGAGAGACACGTTTCTTTGGCCCATCGCGTGCTTTAAAAGGGCGGCTGGGAAGAGCAGCACAGTCACCCTCAGTGACAGCCCCGCTTTCCAGCGGGAGGTGAAAGATCCTTAACATCGAGCAAACGCAAGTTCAGGCCTCCCAAACACCAGGCAACTCCAAGAACACACCCCAAGTCCATGAGATGGGAGGTCCCAGCAGGCGGCCACCCAAAGCCACCGCTGCTTTTGAGGGCTGCCTCAAGTCCCCACAGGGAGAAGTGCTCTGGGCGCAAAGTTCCGGAGTGCCGAGAGCCAGTGCCCATGGGTGATGAAACCGAGGGGTACCCTGAGGCCTGGGTGGGGGTGGGGCTGAGGGGGGTCGCAGTGTCACACACACCTAGTGTCTGGGGACAGGGACCCCTCGGATGAGGCGCCGTGGCCCCCGCTCTGAGACAGCCTGTGGTCGGGCCTCAGCTCTTTGTCATACGCCATCATGTTCCACTCCTGGCGTCTGTTCCGGGCTTTTCTAACCTTTTTCACCTCGCGGGTGGTACCGTCGACACGCTTTTGCTCCTGGTGTCCGGGGCAGGGGGAGAGAGAGAGAGAGAGAGAGCATGCGAGACAGGGGGGAGGAGGGGGACACTGGTTAGATGCAGTTAGTATGCACAGGAAGCGCGCCTCACGCTCATGCTAAGGACGCGGTAAAGCCGGGTCCCCCTCTTGGCCGGCAGACACCGCAAAGGATCTGCTCCACCGTTCGTTCTACATCCAGGAACCGCAACCGCTCTATCCAGCAAGAAAGTGGTGGGGGGTTGGGGCATCCTTTGGGGTACCATCTCCTCACTGCTCTGGGCTTTTAGGCTGTGTCTGATCTACTTTGCTTCTCAATCCATCTCCTCTGCAAATCTACTCCGAGTGTACCAGACAGTGATGCCTCTGACCGCACCGTGTTCATTCCCCACCAGGACACGCCTCCGGAGAGCAGGGCAGCCTGCTGCTATCTGCCCAAAGGATAAACTCAAGCAAGCGTTCTAGAATATTCCACCCAGCAATCTAGCTTCTCGGCGCAAGCAGGCTCACTTTGAGCTCACTGCCATCGAGCCGATGTCGACTCACAGCGACCCTATAGGACAGGGTAGAACTGCCCCCGTGGGTTTCCAAGACCGACTCTTTATGGGAGTAGAAAGCCTTATCGTTCTCCCGAGGAGCTGCTGGTGGTTCCAAACTGCTGACCTTGTGGTTAGCAGCCCAATTCTTAACCATGTGCCGCAGGGACTCCAAGAAATCACAGGATGTAAACTCACCTTCCTGTCCAAGCCCCCAGTGGGGCCAGCAGGTGCAGTACAAAGGCATTCAGGAGGCATCTGGGTGCTGCACACCACCCTCTCAGTCTGAGTTTACAGTGGAGCCCATGGGAGCCGGAATCCCCCCAACATGTCTTCCTTTGGGGCTCCCCATTCCCACCCCGGCCGGTGCGGTCTGACCGCTCTCCTTCTAGTGAGAAATCCCTGTCTTCTCCTGCAGCAGGATTGCTCTCAGAGCGCATGTGGGAAAATGCCAGGGTCTCTCCACCTTATTCTTCCACACACTTTTTAAAGCCCCCTGGTTTAAGAGCCATGTGTTATGACACCTACAGCATTCATCACAAGGCTTGGCCCACCCACGAAGCCACCCAGGAGCACGAGTGATCCCAGCACACACAGAGACGAACAACGAGCGCACACTTCCACCACATGGAACTATGCCAAAACCCTAGAATACACCCCATTTGTCCGAGCCTGCCAGGGAGGCTCTATGGACTTCCGCCCAGAATGCTCCCCAATCCTGAAGACTCCCTTTCCATCTGCCCTCTGCCCTTCCAGCATGCCCGTCCCACCTACATACACATGTACATACACAATACATACACACACATACCGCACGACATACAGGCACCACACAGACATACACACATACATGTCCCCCAAACCCAAACCAAAGCGTCTGCCACCAAGCCAATGCTGGCTCTTAGCAACCAACCCACTAGAACAGAGGAGAGCTGTTCCCACAGGTTCCCAAGGCTGCTGGTCTTTACGGGAGCAGACAGCCTCATCTTTCCCAGTTACAGAGTGGGCGGTGGGTTCAAACTGCTGACCTCGGCACGCATGCAAAAACACGCACACACAGCCACCTGTGCGTAAACATGCAGCATGCATAAGCACACACACAACTGCAAACACACTTGTGCCTGCAGGGTGTGAATACGTGCACACGCGTGCACACACACAGAGACTGTTGGACTGGCTTGATCCACCCCCTGGTGGAGCTCCATTTCTGTGGTCGCACACTGATAGACAGCGGTCTCCCTCAGTGCCCAGGTCACATGCATGGAGTCCCTGACCCTGTCATCTCATCCCCTGCACCTGCTTGTCCCTCACAGCATGCGCTGGCATGGGGATACCAATGGCAACTGCACACGGTGACACAATTACCCCGTATCTGCCGGGGGTGGGCCCCGAGAGATTAGCACTTCCACCAGGGGGAGTGGGGTGGGGCTGGACTGTTCACCCTTTTTATCCAGCATTTAGAAAACAGCTTTTAAAAGAACTATTGCACCAGCGACCCCAGAGAGCGCGGGAGAGAATCTCTAACCAGACCCGGAAGCCATCAAGGGCTCTGCAGTGACTGAGCCCAGGCCGTGCCGTCTCCAAGGCACTGGCCAAAAAACGAGGCATGCCAGACCGGAGGCATTTTGATTCTCACGGTGTGGACCAGAGCGTCAGAAAGGGGAGCGCTCTTCCAAGCTGGGTTGAGACAAAGGGGGCCTGGGCATTGGTTCTTCCCTGTCGTGATGGACATGAACACCTTGCGTTTCCTCGCTGGGCTGCTCACTGCCAGGCCGGCGGTTCGCGCCCACCACTGCTCAGCGAGGACACCGAGGTTGTCTGGCTTCTCCCCCAGTGTGCCATTTTCTGAGACCTGTGCAGACCCCGGGCTCACAGAGGGCATGCGGAGAGCCTCATCCTGAGAAACCAGTTCTACCTAACGTGTAGGACCTCAGA